ACTGAGGACGATTGACTATGTCTTAATCCATACTCCTAGACTAAGGACAACTGACTGTGTCTTAATTGATACTCCCAGATTAATGACAGTTGACTATGTCCAATCCATACTCTCAGACTAGGGACAATGATTGTCTAATCCATGCTCCCGGATCAATGACATATACTAAAGCTCTATTCTCTGAGCATAACTCACTCGTACCCATTGGAAAATACTACCCAATATTCCTCATAATTAATTTAGGCTTACTCTTTATCCTAAATCATCATATATGTCACACCCCCAAACCAAGGATGGCGGAAACGTCCGGGGGTGGAGGACTTCATGTACAGTATCACAACAGGGTATATAATAGTGCTCAAAGTAAATACAACCAACATATATATAATTGAAAAGGTTACACCAAAGTATATGTTTACATGATTCAAAATCAATTACATTATGATGACAAAAATAAATTGTTGACAGTTTAACGTCCCATCCTCAAAGCGATGAAGTTTTCCTGTTTCACTGATTTCCTGAGAATACAAGTAGTTTTGAAAAGTGTCAACAATTAAGTTGGTGAGTTCATAAGAGTTTTGTTTGAAGTAGAAACCGTTTTTCCTTGTAAAATCGATATAGTTTGATTTGTAGAAAATCCAATATTTTCTTAGTTAAGTGTGAATAGAAATATTCCTTTATGATGCATTAATGAACCCTAGAATGACCCGTAGAGTTCCTGTATAATCGTCCAGCGTATATAAGTTATATAAGGTTTAAATTAGATAAAACGTTGAATATAGTGGGTCTGCCCTAGGTCCACAACCAAACAAGGAACAAGAGATGAGGCAGGCACCACTAATTCTAGGCCAATCGAGACAAAATTCTTATAAGACTCAAACATGCACGCTCAGTGATTATAGTTGAAGTCTAACAGTTCTATATGCAATATAGTTTTAATATCATAATAACTATCTTAAGTGAACCTGGTACTTTGTATCGGTACCCCCTTTTTTGTATAAAGACCCGGCACTTTGTATTTGTACCCCTTTTTATATAAAAACCGGCACTTTGTATTTGTACCCCTTTTTTGTATATAAACCCGACATTTTGTATTTGTACCCCTTTTTGTATGAAAACCGGCACTTTGTATTTGTACCCCTTTTTGTATATAAACCCGACACTTTGTATTTGTACCCCCTTTTGTATAAAAACCCGGTACTTTGTATTTGTACCCCCCTTTTTGTACGAGTATGTTATGTAAATGATCATAGACTATACCTATTATAGTTTATTAAAATGTTTGAAATGTATATGTACCCTAACTATACCTATTATAGTTTAGTATATTTCTTTGTGGTGTTTAAGAATCCCACTCTATGTAAGTCAAACGTATAGTACGATATAACTATGATTAACTTGCTTTGTTTTGTACTATTGATTATGATGGAGGATTCTTATAAATTCAGCAAGTAATTTCCTATTATATAAATATATCATGACAAGAAATACATGTAATATATGAAGTTATCAAAGGTTTAACACTTTGCTCAACATGTTACAAAGTGTTTTGATAGTTAGAAGCTGTTAATTAATTCTTAGTCTTTCAGCACTGTTTTAGAAAAATCATAGAAAAATCATACGAAGTCGAAAACTATATCCATAAATTCTGAGAGTTTCTAAAATGAGTCTAGTTTACTCACAATTTTTATCATGATTTTTGGAAGCTTTTAACTTGTCTTAAAATTCTCATATTCACAGACTGGTCCGGGTTTGTGTTTGAAAAGATAGGCTGTTTTGTAAAAATCACCATAAATTGTACAAAAATCGTATGGAGATGTGCAAGTAGTAATTTTAAAGCTAACAACTTGAACTATTTGCACCTTGTACAGTTTTGAAAACAAAAATGTTTAAGATGCCCAAAATAGTCTGTGAATGGAGTTGAACTTTTCTGATGAAGGCTGTTAGAAAAATTTAGTTATGTTCTTGGTGTTTTAACTTGTATTCCCCCCCCCCCCCTTGAAAACTTGAGAAAACATGAAAATGTAGGGGTATGAACTCACCTTGAGTGATTTTAGTGGATGGATGATGGAGAGAAGGGGTGTTCAACTCAAGAACACTTGGGAAGATTGCTTAAAGATTTGAAGATCTAACACAAATATGATGGAGTTTGTGTAAGATATCTTTGATTTGTGTGGAAATAAGTGAGATAATCACAAGTAGAACGGATTATGCTTACCAAATGTGGAAGAACACTTGATAATCAGCCTTGAATCTCGAGTTTGGTGGAGAAAAAGTTTGAGAGAATAGTGGTGTTTGATACTTAGTGAAATGAGGCAAATGAGAGAAAATGAGGAGATAGGATGTTTGTTCCAGCTCTAAAAACGTGGGAATGGGTGGAAAATGAGTGCAAGGGACATTGAAGTGACCTAGGTAAGGTGGGGAGGTGTGGTTAGTCAAAGAGTGGGTGTGGGGTGGTTGCTTGTGACATTGGATAAGGCAAAGTCAATACTCCACCTTTAATAATTCACCAATTTGATTTTTATTATTGAGATAATGATTTTCATCAAAATATGTTTAAATTATGAATATTTAGAGTTTATTATGTTAAAATATAATTTCTGGAGAAAATCCCGCTTTAAAATCACGAAAAACGGGCTTAACATGTTAAAAATATCAAAAATGGGCTAAAAGTGACCAAATTCCGAATTCTGGCCGAGGTTCGGCCTTCTGATGCTGAAACCGAGAGGAGGGAGGGTAGAAACCGAGAGGGAAGAAGAGAGAGGGCAGGAACCGAGAGGGGAGAAGAGAGAGGGCAGGAACCGAGAGGGGAGAAAAGAAGAGAGGAGAGAAGCGAGAACAGAGACCGAGAGGCGGGTAGAGACAAAGAGGCGAAGTAGAGACAGAGAGTGCGAGAAGCGAACAGAGAGTGAGAAGCGACCGAGAGAAGGCGACAGAGACCGAGACTCGGTCTCAGCTACAGGGCTCGGTTCGGTCCTGGGGCCTTTTCGGTTCCTAGTCTCAGTCTTAAGGAGCTTCGGCTCCTTAAGAAGGGTTTCGGTTCCTAAGGTCCCGTTTTCTCGTTTTTACCCCGTTTTAAGCCGTTTTTTACCCGGTTAAGGGTCAGAATGACCCGAATGATTCCAAAAAGTTACGGGAAACTTTTGAGAGAGATTTGGGAGAGATTTCTCACACTTGGAGAGATTTGGGAGAGATTTGATATTCTTGGAGAGATTTCTCATACACAGAGATATTTACGAGAGTTTTCACATACTTGGAGAGATTTGGGAGAGATTTGACATTCTTGGAGAGATTTCTCATACAGAGAGATATTTGAGAGAGATTTCACATACTTGGAGAGATTTGGGAGAGATTTGACATTCTTGGAGAGATTTCTCATACAGAGAGATATTTGAGAGAGATTTCACATACTTAGAGGGATTTGGGAGAGATTTGACATTCTTGGAGAGATTTCTAATACAGAGAGATATTTTAGAGAGATTTCACATACTTGGAGAGATTTGGGAGAGATTTGACATAGAGAGAGATAGAGTGAAAACGATTGAGAGATGTTTCATTTGTGACAATTGTGAGTGTTTGGCCCCACAATGCATGGTTCTTGAACCCCGTTAAGTCATGATTAAGGATCCTACACACTCCCGATGAGTATGCAACATGGTTTTATCGGTTTGGCTTGCCACTTACCGCATTTTTTAGGTTAAGGAGATCTAGTTGTATATACTTTTCGATTTATGATTTCTTATCAGAATAGCGAGTTGTTTAGTAAATACTGAACGTAAGTCCTAGTACACAAGGGTTAGTTGAGCTGACCGGTTTGATTTGTTGACTTTATTTGACTTTGAATTGACCAGAATTTGACGGTTGCCACAATATATAATCAGGTATTCTCTTTAACACGTATTTCAAGCAATGTAAATTAACTCGCACATATAGTATAATTAATACTTCAATCAATACTTGTATTAAAATCATGTTCATGAAAGGGACTATGCACTCACTTGATAAGGTGGTTACTCGATACTTGGTCATCGCTTCATTTACTTTAAACTAATTTCCGTCGACTAATCATTAGTCTTATTATTATTATTATATAAGTGTTTAAGCAATACTTTCTAACCACTATGTACAGACAGGGGCCATACATAAAACACCGGAGGGCAGGACCATTTTTTCATATAGCAATTCTGAAATCCCACGACCCTATGCGGCTCTTTAAACCAGATTCCCTGTACCACAAGTAATTAAAAAAGATATACTAGTAGAAAAACAGTCTTTTACGACCCAAATGCGCGTCAAGGAAGGCCCTGTCATAAAGAGAGACGACGCGCTTTTGCGCGTTGTCTATTCACGTTGCGCTTTTATGACATGCAATGCCTATCATTAAAGCCGCTGTCAAGAAAGGCCATGTCATAAATGAAGATGACACACATTTTTGCGTATCGTAATTTTAGTTTTTTTTTTAAAAAAAAATTATTTATAGATTTTCTAATTTTCAAATTAAATTTGCATTTCATGTGTCATAATAAAAAAATAAAATACCATATACAAAAAAATACAATCCATTGCACAAAAGTTAATGTCATACAAATAATCATTCCAATAATAGACAAATGTAATACATCAAATGTGAAAGAGATGAAAGGCATCAACAAATAATAGTTGAACTACAAGAACTTGTTGCCTACCTTCACAACACCCGAAGCTACTTTGCTTGACACTATGCACATCAACAAGACCTACAAATTTGAATAATGCAACCATTAGAGTTCAACTTTTGGCTAGCACTCCAACAGCCCTACTGAAAAATGATATGATAAAAGTGGCTAATACCAACAATAGAAGCTTCAAGAATCACCCTGAAATAAATATATACAAGCTACTTACAGTTAAATAATGAAGGGGTCAGATATGTATGGATGCTTGGGGGAATAAATCCCTGGTACAGATGCAACCAAATGTCTGGCAACAATGCTGAAATCAAACTTAGCTAATTCCAATATCTAATGGGCTTGATCAGGAGCACCAACTAACAAAGTTTCCATGAATCCAACAAGTTGAGCAGCAAAATTGGAATTTGACTCCCTTAAAAGAAGAAAGAGCTTCCAACAGTAGTGATTCCCTGTAATACAATAAATTGGATGGTGATCACAAATTAGGAAAATTGATAATTATCAACTAGATTCAAGTAAGCCAATTAAAACAAGAATTCAATCTAGTTATTTTTCCTACTTGTAATGTTCATCAAGTTTTAACTAGTTATCATTTTTTTTCAAATACTAATAATCATCATCTAATTCTGGGGTCAAAATTACCCTACAAAATGGAAGAAATAATTAATAAAAGAAAACCTTAATGAATAGTTAAATCACTTGCATATTCCTCTAGAGTTGGCATCTTGTTTCCAAAGCTCCTACCCACAACTTATGAACTCTCCCCAACCATTCTAATCACCTGCTCAAAAAGTATAAACATTGCACATAAGACAAGGGTATTTTTGGTACATGAAAAATAAAGCTAACCATACATGACTAAATCACACCAAAGGTAAAAATGGAAATCCCAACGATGTTCCACTTCCATGAGATAATGCAATTTTGAGACGCGACGCCTAAAGAGTGGTTCAAGGCAAAAAGTGGGAACACCAGTCTGCCATCTTTTAACCTCATACATCTCATTCCATGCTTGAACTATTTCATCAATTTTATAACCAAGACCTAAAAAACACTGATACAAAACATTCAACTTTGGACTAAATTAAGTAAAAATCAGAAAAGCACAAGGACTTTTTTGTTATTAAAGGAGGAGCATGGAACGATGGATATTAGATATTAGATATTAGATATTAGATATTAGTATTACTTACAGCTGTGAAGCTTTAGAGTCCATTACTTGAAAATATGTCCTCCTCGATCCAAGGCGCATGGTACCACCCATATGAGTTTTTGAACCCTATTATCATTCATATTGTTATTATAAATGATGACTGAATAGTTTGTTATATTATATTAAAAAAGAATAAGGCGACAAACCTTGGGGATAAATATGACACAAGGATTTTTAGTATTTGGATCGAATTCGGTGCTATTTGCATTTTCAGGAGCAATAACAGATATGGCATACTCTATGACAACAATTTGCCTTCCTAAACAAATGCTAAGGTAGGGGATATTGTTCTCACATGCATATTTCGCTGCAATGATTTTCTCTTCTACACCTCTATCATCACCCCCCCCCCCCACCCCCGGAACAAGCACACCATCCACCGACTACATCATCACACCAAATCACACTCTAAAACCGTTAACAATGCCATTATTATAATTTTTTTGTAAAATTTGTTTTTCTATCCAGATGATATTTGATATAACTATCCCAGATGTATCCTTTTATTTATCTGTGCAGTCTACTTTGATTTTATTATTTTTTCTCTTTCTCTTTTAGCCAGTTTTCTTCTTATTTACTTTGAAAAAGGATACCCGATCATAATAGTCAAACTAACTAGGAAAGTAAAATGAAAGTAGAATTATATATGCTTTAAACCCTTGTCTAACTAACATACACACACATACACATACGAACCTTCAAAGAATTACAAGTAGCTCTGTGAACATTAGGATTCTGTATAAAAACAAAAAAGATCCAGCATGACCATTAAGTTTCAAGGACATGCATTGCATGATAAAGAAAGAGAAAAAGAGAGATGGAGTGGATAGTAACTTCTATGGCAGTTGCTTCTTCAAGATCATTGGCAGACACCCAATTGATGAGTAATTTCCTTCGGCAAGCAACAGAAGCATGCAATAGAGCCTAAATGAGTAATCAGAACTTAGTATGCTACCAGTAGATGCATCAGTTTCAGAGGGAGAGATTACTAGACGTGATTGTGTGGATATTAGTGACTGCAAACATATGATAGCCAGGGTATAAAGGTCAAAACACAAAGGTTTTGTAGAATTATAATGTAGAAAGTTTGTTTAAAAATATAAACTTACTAATAGTTCATTCATGTCACTAGATACCCTAAGTCTTGCCCTTTGTTCAAGTGAACAAACCAAGAGAACAAAACCAAGTAGCATGACCTGCATGCTAAAAGAGAGCAGCCCTTAATGAGAAATTCATTTTTCCAAACACTAACAAAAGCAGTATAGTATATGAGTAAATCAGCAAGAATAATAGGAGTATTTTATCAAGGAGGGGTATTTTGGGTATTACGTTAATTAGTTTGCAGTAACTTGCAATAGTGCTTATAAGAGGGTAGAGGGTACCGTATGTGCGTATCATGATTTCTCTTTTGTGAAATATGGACATTGTTTCTTTTGGAGAGTGGCTTCTTGAATTTGCCAACTAGTACATCAATGGCTTCTTTGCGGATACAAAAAGCTCCTCTAGTGCAAGCTTCTTTAATCCAGCAAAATGTATAGCATCAAACCTATATACATAGCCACCACAATCTAAACCTATTAGATTATTTCAACACAAATCACATACATGCATGATATAAGAATTGGACTAGTGAAAACAAGCTTACTTTATGGAGGCAAAAATGATATCTTCAATATCCAGACTTGATTTGTACGGTAAAATATGTTTTCAAAAAAGATAGATAGTTAAGAAATAGTGTACGTGATAGTGAGTAAACCGTCGGGTGGTGGCCGGCGTGGAAGTAGGGAAGTAGTGTAGCAGCAGATGAACAGATGGGTGAACAAGCGAAACCGAGGGCCGCCGTTTTAGGTTTCGTGGTGTTTACGAATATTCTGAGAACCGATAATAGTGATTTATCTCTCCAGCACAACTCACACAAATTGAGAAGGCGTTAGATTTTTACCATTAACGATGAATCGAAGAGGGAGTACCAAAAGTTACATACCAAAAATCGAAGAGAACGAAACACGAATCGAAGAGACCAAAACCAGAGGATGATGAAGATCGCAACAACCGATTATGAGATGTTCTGCGCCAAAATGAAGATCCAAGAAACTGACATCTACTTCGATGGATTAAGAATCAATGACTACTTCGTCTTCCACTTATAGATTATTTAAGGGTTTTATGGAGATTCAGTTGAATAGACGGCTGTGAATGGGGAGGAGATGGAAGCCGGAAGAAAATCAAACGATCGTGGGTTTAGAAACTTAAGTGAGGGTGATGTTGGTTGAGTCACTGATGATGTTTGAGGGAGGTGGCGTAAAGAATTATTCTTAGGGATTAAGGGAAAAGAGGGAAATAAAAATGGGGGAGAAAAAGGAAGGTGGTCATTTCTAATTTTTAGGATTTTCATCTTCCGCTAGTTGCTACTAAAGGAGGCGCGCGTTCACCTTAAAAAATTATAAAACGACACCTAATTCTAGGTCACGCGAAAAATGGGTGACTTTAATCCTTTTCAAATTTTATCAGAGATGACGTTTTTTTTTACGATACCCACTTTTGCGTATAATAAATCAGTGCGTGTCATATATTGTGTGTCCTTAAAGCCCTGTTTTCTAGTAGTATATAACGACAGTTATATAATAATATCTCAAATATTTATTATAAGTTCATAATAACAATACTAATTCTAAATATAAGCTATATTAAAATAGAGTAAGCATAACTTACTTACAGAGGGGTTTTAGCTAGGAGTCGGGCTCTGCAGGGGCAGAACTTCGTCGCTGAATCTTTCTAAGAAAGATTCGTGCAGCCTTGCCTTACTATACTAAAACTACAGAAGGAGAAGTCGAATCACGGGGGACCGAAACGCTCGGGGGATAAGAAGAGAAAGACTCTTAAATCAAGAGAATGGTTCAAGAAATATGAGAGCCCAAGCCTCTTATTTATAGGAATTGAATTTACAAAAACTACCCTCCATAATTACTTAATGACCTTATAGTTATATAAACGACTAAACACCCCTTCATAATACTATTTTAAATAGATTTAAAGATATTTGTACTAAACTAATATCGAAAGTACTCAACACTAGTCTTATAATAACCGCATCATCAATAGCTTTCTAATGATATATACATGTGTATATATGTGTACGTATTTATGATTTATACTTTATTTTAATACATAAATATGTTATTATAATTTGTAACTCGTTTATACGAACTCCATTTTTTGAGGTTCTTTATATCCATGCATTTGTATTTACGAGTACTACAACTTTCATATAGATGCCATCAGCTAAGTCTCATTCTATCTCAGATTTACAAAACTGTATCGAATTTATCGCGCTCGAAGAGTTGAGACCAAGTTTCGTCCATATCTTTAACATACGAGCTCTACACTCAACCTTCTTTATAACCACGTGTAGGTAAAAACAAGATCTAAAACTTTCATTTATACTCCATCGGCTAATTCTCGACTGATCTTAAGTTTAATAGTAGGAGGAGATTATATTGTTAAATGTCAGCGTAAAATTCATAACTTCTACATACGGGCTCCGTTTTCGTCTGTCTTTTTACCATTGAGTTTCTATTAAAGAGATCTTCAACTCTCGTTTTGGTCTAATCTGTTTTGATTTTTTTTCAAAATGACGTATTTGCCCCTTTTAATACGTTTTTCTTTTTTTCTTATTTGTTTTTCTGATTTTGATTTAAAAAAATAAAAACTAAAAATAAATCTCTCTCTCTCTCTCTCTCTCTCTCTCTATATATATATATATATATATATATATATATATATATATATATATATATATATATATATATATATATATATATCTTATTTGTTTTTATTTATTTTACTAATTTTAGATTTAAAAAAATAAAAGAAATCTCTCTCTCTCTCTCTCTCCAACCTTCAACCTCAACTGAACCTTTCATCATATATTACCACCTAACGTTACCATTCTCCATCTCCATTCCCCCTACTGTGACCACCACCAAACCACCATTCTACCCTATACTACCACCAGACACAACCCAACAACACAACCCTCATTTCTCTATCACAACCTTCACTACCTACCAGTATCTCCGAATCTCACCACCCAGTTTGTTATTCGCCAAATCTCTAAAGCTTCGGCAGTCGCACATTAAAGTACCTTCAACCATGGTGACCACCGTCACTGTCACAGGAACGACGACGGATCAATTCAAAGACCATCACCCGTCGCTTGAAGTTCTGGGCAGAGCTCGTGACTCCTTCCGTTACCCTCGATTAAGTCTCCGATGATGCCCACAACTTGTCGGAAACCTCCCCTATCTTGCTCTTACTTGTGAGTCCACATTTCCGCTTCTTGAAATTTAAATTTCAAAATGAAAACCCACCATTAGTTGAGTACTAATTTTCAGCCTAGTTTGTTGGGAGGAAGCCAAGATGCATGTGTACAACATATGCTGGTGAGAGCAAGAAATAGAGGGGGTGGCACATGGTGGTATTCAACAGCCGTGGATGTGCTGATAGCCCTCTTACCACACCTTAGGCATGTTTATGTTTAGGTTTAACAGTTTTAAGTACTTGATCTATTGAAAAAATGGTTATCTTCAAGTAATTTCAGAGATACAAGAGATGTAAAACCTAAATGGAGATGGACCTAAAAAACCGTTTGAGCTACCATACGATGATTTTCACTCTCCCTTATCTCTCAAAAAGTCGTCGGGTGACCTCGTCGGATATTGGTCGGATGTCATCTCCTCCAACTCCAATGAATGCTCCAGTAAGTGAGAGATTGAAGGTGGGTTTCAAGCTCAAGACATTATGGTGGATTTGGGGCAGGTGGATTGTCATGGATTTGTGGATTTGTGTTCACACAGTAAACACAAACTCAGATATGAGAGAGAGAGAGAGAGAGAGATTTAATTTTATTTTTATTTTTATATAATTTTATTTTTACTCCAAAAGCGGCATAGCTGAGGGTTCTTTATTGCTATATATGAAATTGGATGACCACATACAAATAATATACCACTTAGGTGTCGTTTGTTTTTTGTTAGCAGATATTTTTGGCCTCTTTTGTCTGCGTCGTGCAGACCACAAGTAGACATTAACATTCGCAGACTATTTGTTATTTTGAAGGCTGTATGCCTAAAAATGTATGTGAGTCCTCTTCTTGGCACAAATGTGGATCAGAGTCTTCTAACATCTTCAGATATCTTCTAGCCTAAAAAAACTCATATATGTTTTTTTTAGTTTTTTTTAATTTATATTTATTCCAACTTTATTAATGATAACCAATTCGAGAAAAAAAAAGTTATAATACTTAAAAAAGGGGGTTCATCAACACAAACATGATATTTTTGACAAATTTATAAATAAAGATTTATTACAATAATGGTCGTTGAAGTTGTTTATATAAATATAAAAAAATCATAATATATTCTTATTTTTTGTGCTAAATTTTATAAAACATTATTTAATACAATATCTTCAATTTCATGATAAAATATTTATGGTACATTTTTAATTGATTTAATTGAAAAAAATCGAAGTTTATTTCTATTTATTTATATAGCAAATTCTTTAATTCATATTTATAATGTTTATGGATAACTTTGCGATCAAAATTGTTGGTTTTTATCAATGATATACATTAATTTGTATCATTTTTATTTTCACTTTTTATACAATAATACATAAAGGTTGATCTAGATTTATTAATTATTTATAACAAGATCATAAAAATATTAAAATATCACTTTGAAGTTTAAAAAAATCAATATATTTAGATTTTAGTTTATTTTAGTAGTCTGCATATGTTAAAAAAACAAACAGTCTTCTTTTTTCAGACTGCAGGCCTTCGGTCCACCTCTTCTACTGTAGAGGTCTACAAAGGTGGTTCGCAAACTGTAGATATTTTTACTCAGAAAAAACAAACATCACCTTAGTATAAGCATAACCAAAGCCGCTTAAAATACGTATCACGACATCAGTTAATAGTGTTTTAACTATGGGTTAATAATTATCATACTTGTTATTCTTTTGTATAGATTATATATTCGTATTCTAATAAAAGGATAAGTTTATTCTCTTATCAACAAGTGTCATACTATTAGAACTCATCATTAATATATATATGTGTGTGTGTGTATATATATATATATATATATATATATGTGTGTGTGTGTGTGTGTGTGTGTGTGTGTGTGTGTGT